AATCAATTCACGTTTGGTAACGTTCCGGGTTGCTAGAGAATTCGGGGTGTTACAGCTTTGTATCAGAGCAATGGTTTACTTTCCTGTAGATTTTCAAATTTAAAAATTTTTAAAAAAAAAAAGCTATATATATTTAATCTTTTTTGGGAGATTCATTGTTTGAGTTTTCTTGCTTTGAGTATTCGTAAAACTAAGAGGCTTTGTCAAAAAGACCTAAACTGTCTAAGGCGAGCTTGGGATTTAAGCGGTCCACTTGTGACCCCCCTCCTCACCTGGAAGCCTTTTTAGTTGCGCGTTATTCAAATCGATAAGACGAAAAATAATGTTTTAAACCTACTTCAATTTTAGAAAATTCTTTCATTTTAGAAACTTTTATACCAAAAAAAAAAAAACAATTTTACGAAAATTTATAAGTTACGAGATCCATGAAATCCAATGCTCATCAATCTACCACAGTCCAATATTTTAAGGTATGTAAGGATGAAGAATATTTTTATTGATATTACCATTTATATTTCACTGCATACTAGTTAATTGCATGATTTTTTTTTTTCTACACGTCATTTTACTTTAAGGGAGAATGTTAATTAAGCAAATGATTATTTTGTGTAGGATTGTATGATTAGTAAAGCAATTCTTATATGACTAGAACCTTAGTGCATAACACTTGGCCTTAGCATAACATACACGAAAGACATGACTAAATATAGAAAAACCTTTAGGAAGAGTGTAGTATGGTTGAGCAGTTCATAAGATAAATTACTTTTACTTCAAGGAAATGGCACGATGACAACAAGATCAAGCTACTATGTTTAGAGATTTACTAAGGGCAGTGCAAGACTTGGGCAGGCAGCAGCCTCAAGCGGCACCTCATAATGCAACAAGAGGTGCCAACACCATGAGCTCAATTGTTGAACAGTTTCGTCGCTTTAAACCTCCGTCCTTTGATGGTAAACGTGATCCTTTCGCAGCTGAGGAGTGGCTGAGAAGACTTGAAGGGATCTTCGAGCACATGAACTGCAATGATGCTCAAAAGGTTTCTTGTGCAAAGTTTATGTTGACTGATGATGCTGGACATTGGTGGGAGTCTGAAACACGTACTAGAACTACAGAACAACAACGTAACCTCACTTGGAACCAGTTCAAGGAGTCGCTGATGGGTAAATATTTTCCCCAGTCACTGAAAGATCAAAAGGAGGTAGAATTTCTCCAGCTCACGCAAGGAAATTTGCCACTTGGGGAGTATGAAAGAAAATTTGAACGACTTTCTAGGTATGCACCGCATATGGTGAACACTGAGCTGACAAGGGCTAAAAGGTTTGAGATGGGGTTAAGGCCAGAGATCAAGGGAATCATGGCAGCCCAGCAGAATACTACTTATGCAGAGGTTGTACGTCGAGCACAAGCAATCTCTAATGGTTTAGGACTGGAAAAGAAAACCCAACCCAGCACCGAGTCATCTATAAAGAGAAAGTGGCAAGGTCATGATAAGGAGAAAGGCAGGAACCAGAATAAGAAAGGAAAGATTGGGTTAGACTTAAATAAAACTTTTCCTCAATGCTCCAATTGTAACAAGCGACACTTGGGTGAGTGTCTTCAGGGGAAGGGAGTATGCTACAGTTGTGGTAAGAGTGGTCATTTCCTTAGAGAATGTCCAGAGAAGAAGAGAGAAGGTGATCATCTTAAGAAGGGAAAGGCCAGAGTATTTGCTTTGACAGAAGAAAAGGAGGATCAGAACACAGACGTAATAACAGGTATGTTACCAGTATTTGACGTACCTGCTATTGTCCTTATGGATTCTGGATCCACTCATTCATTTATTTCTACAATTTTCATGGATAAGATTGGGAATGAATTTGTAAAAATGAATAACATTTTAGAAGTTAGTACACCATCAGGCGAAGTGATTAATACCAATCAAATGGTTAAAGATGTTAAGTTAGAGATCGAAGGAAAAGTACTAAAGGCAGATTTGTACCTTTTGAGGATGAAAGACTTTGATGTAATTTTGGGTATGGACTGGTTGGGTAGAAATTATGCAACCATCTTATGCCATAAGAAGGAAGTTTTATTTCAAAAACCTGGAGAAAAAGATTTTCGATTCTTTGGAACAAAAATTGGGACCCTACCTCGATTGGTATCTGCAATGAAAGCACAAAAGATGTTGAGAAAGAATACTTGTCAAGGATTTCTATTGAATATAATTAGTAAGCCCCAAACCGAAAGAAAAATAGAAGATGTACTAGTAGTTAATGAGTTTGTGGATGTTTTTCCTGAGGATTTACCTGGTATACCACCTGATAGACAAGTAGAGTTCACAATTGACTTGACCCTTGGGGCAGCGCCAATATCTAAGGCTCCTTACAGGATGGCACCAAAAGAATTACAGGAGTTGAAGATATAACTACAGGAATTATTGGATAAGGGTTTCATCTGGCCAAGTGTATCCCCATGGGGAGCGCTGGTATTGTTTGTTAAAAAGAAAGATGGGTCAATGAGGAGCCATGGGAACCAAGTTAAACTTCAACACAGCTTTCATCCTCAAACCGATGGACAATCGGAGAGGACTATATAGACTCTAGAGGATATGCTGCGTGCCTGCGTCCTTAATTTAGGAGGCAGTTGGGAAAGTTATGTACCACCGGTAGAATTTGCCTATAATAATAGCTATCAAGCTACAATAAAGATGACACCTTACGAAGCTCTTTATGGCAGAAGATGTAGAGCTCCCCTTTATTGGGATGAAGTAAGTGAACGAAGAGTTTTAGGACTCGAAATAATTGAGGAAACTGGTCGAGCGGTTGATAAAATAAGAGTTAGAATCAAGGCAGCCCAGGATCGACAAAAAAGTTATGCCGATAAAAGGAGAAAAGATTTGTCATTTAATGTTGGTGATAAAGTTTTCTTAAAAGTGGCACCGATAAAGGGAGTTCTTCGCTTTGGAAAGAAGGGAAAACTTCGACCGAGATTCGTAGGTCCTTTTGAAATTTTGCAGAAAGTTGGAAATGCAGCCTATCGAATCGCTCTATCACCAGATTTGTCAGCAATTCATGATGTGTTCCACGTGTCAATGCTTCGACAATATCTGTCAGACCAAAGTCATGTGGTTAGTTATCAACCATTGGATATCAAACGAAACATGACTTATGAGGAAAAACCAGTGGCAATATTGGATCGCAGAATCCAACAATTGAGGACAAAGGAAATTTCGTTAGTGAGAGTTCAATGGAGAAACCATAATGTTGAAGAGTCAACTTGGGAAAGAGAAGAGGAAATCAAGATCAAGAATCCATAACTTTTCAACTAAGTTCGAGGTAATTTCGAGGACGAAATTTTTTTAAGGGAGGAAGGATGTAATACTCCAAATTTTGTGCTCATTTACTTTTTAGAATAGCAATTTAACTTTTCAAATTTTAGTATGGCCAAAAAATTATTTATGGTTGCCAAATTTTGCATTGGTTGATTTATTAAAAGTTTTTCCAAATAATTTGTTAATTAGGGGTTTGAAATAAATGTCCATTTCACACCTAATTACTAAAGTTAAACATTGTTTCTCCAACTTGGCCGAAAATTGATGAAACATATATGCATGAGGTGTTTTAATTTAAGCATGAGGTGGCTAACTAATGCATGAGGTGTGTTGGATTTAAGAAAATGAAACCATGCAGCCTACACATGTTGAATTTCTTGAAGAGTCACCCAAAATTAATCATTTTTCTCACCTATAAATAGTTGTGTTGCTGCCCTTTATTTCTCTTGCATAAAAAACAATATCACTTGTTTAAAAAAGGGCAGAAAACGTGAGGGAAGAAGAGGACCAGCCTAGCATTTCTCAATTCATTTTCAACCAAGATTTCTTCAAGTTTTATTGTAAGATACTTTCTATGCTTAAGTGGTATGTGTTCACGAAATAATTCTTTCAATTTAAAATTAAAGCAAGTGTAGGGTTCGTAACAAGTAATAAAGTGGATTTTTAAAAGTTCGAATATCGTCCCTCAGAGATTGAGTAGGTCAATTCTATATAATCTAGCCTTAACCGAATCTAATTGAGTGAAAATATGATCTAAGTGCAAAAAGCCCTAATTTCAATTAAAACCCCTAATTTCAACTAAAAACCCTAATGTCAATTGAAAACCCTAATTTCAACTAAAAACCCTAATTTCAATTGAAAATCCCAATTTCTCAATTAGAAACCCTAATTTCAAAATTTCTCTAATTAAATGACTTAAACACTCAAGTAAATGAAATTAAGCAAGTTTAAAAGCTAATTTATTAAAATGAATCAAATTAAAGTCATTATGATCACGAATCCCCAATTGAAGTTATAAAAACCCTAATTTCATAAAATTAATGATTCGATGAAAATTTGTCAATTCAATGTTCCTAATTTTATCCAATATACTCTCTCGATATATATTAGACCTATTCTTACACACCACCAACCTATATCTCTATGGATGATGCAAACATACAAGAATGCATGTAGTTTTGTAAACAATTTAAGAATTGCATAAAGCATAGGGGTATATCTCTATCCCCTATCGGACCCTATGTTAATTTACACCTTATCGAACCTATTCCACTTCTCTCGAATGTAAGAAACAAGTCATCAATACTCACACAATCATTGGCCACTAATTGCGGAAGAAAATTAATGCATGTAAATCAATCAAATTATCCAATGAATCTTTATATCAAGTTCATGAAATATAGAATTAAAATAACAAACAATGGTTCATCGATCACCTAGTAATTAAAACCCTAGCCTAGAAGATTCATAATTACTAAAAACAAAACGAAATTAATGAATAGAAAGAAGAACACCCGTATGAAAGTCCTTGAAATCTGAAATCTTGAACAAAACCTTGAAAACCCCTTTGAATCCTTGTGAAATCGGCTTCAAGTTCATGTTCCTTGCCTCCAAAAGTTTTATTCTTCTTCTCCCTCGACGTTCTGCCCTATTTCTGATGAATTTTGGCTTTTATATCATGTCCCCACGGAGCCCCGAAAGAGTTTCAATTAAAAATGGGATTTTAGAATTTTTCATCGAACTTAAAGCCATGTGGCCGCATGGTTCAATTTTTCAGCTCATTTGGAACCCTGCTAGACCCTGTGCAGCCGCAAGGAATTATAACCATGCGGCCGCATGGTTATAAAATTTTTCCTCCGGACAGCTTTCAGTATTTTGATCATTTCTCTCCTAATCTCCGATTGAAGTGATTCAAAGTGAATTGGGAAGAAAACTCAAAGATATACACTTTTGATAGAAATAGTCTTCCTCAAATTATGATGTTTACTATGCCAAAAATGGATCTCAAATGGAGACTCAAAATCACGAGCATAACTTTTTCGCCTGAAATTTGATACTTGATAATACTTCGACCATATTTCACCTCTTGACTCCTTTCCTCATCCGATTGAACTTTAACACGCTTGAATCTTCATTCCATTTCCCGTCTCATCTATGGATTATTTTCAACTTGGTCCTCGAACTATCACTTTGTTCCGTTTTGGTCCTTTTTCGGCTCTTTTCTTCTGAATTCCATCTTTTCCATAGAAACACCTACATAGCATGAATTTAACAAGATTAAGTCATAATTCAACTACTTTGTCCATGTTTAAGTCATGTTTGTGAGCTAAATAAGTGTGTAAAAACGCACTTATCAAATCCCCCAAACTTTAACTATTGTTTGTCCTCAAACAATGTAGTGACTTAATGCTAAACAAACATGGCTTAATAGCTTGTCATGTCTCAGGATTGGACTTAGTAATAATAATAGAAACAATATCAAGAGTGTGAGAATTGAATCAACCTTTACTCATCAAATGCAATACTCAACGTGTGTGTGTGAACTCAGGCCAACATATCAAGCTTATGATTAGTTTATCCGAGACCCATAGTGTTCAAATTTATCCTTACGTCACTCGAGAGATACACAATCCCCAAATGTATTCTTTTCACACAATTTCTCCGGGGTGTATTCTAAGGTTAGGAGTTTAAACAATTCTAATCCTTACCCTCTCTTAGTTTGGATAGATTTTACCATTACAAGTTCACATATCAACAAGTAGAGACTCTCCTTAATTTTTATTGCTTCAACCTTTAGGATTAAACTAAGCTACTTGCTTCGCATTGAGGTTATAGTTCTATCAACCAAATGTCCAACGAGGGCTTTTAATTTTTTATTTATTTTTTTATTGTGTCATCTTTTCATTTTTTTTTTTTTTTTTTTTGTGTATGTGTCATCTTCTCATTTGCTTTTTATATAACCCATGTAACGAGCTTTAGGCCGATGACTCCTTAACCAGTTGGCTTTAGGGCATCAGGTTTTAAACCCTTACAGACTTACTTGCTCGAGTTATAAAGGCTCGACAAGATGACTTTTTATCAACTCTCCTTTTTTCTTGCTTTCTATATGACCCATGTAACGAGCTTTAGGCCGATGACTCCCAAACCAGTTGGCTTTAGGGCATCAGGTTTTAAACCCTTACAGACTTACTTGCTCGAGTCATAAAGACTTTTTGAGAGAAGTGATAATTTTCCAGTTTTTACTTTATGCCCCTTCTTTGTTTTTCTAGACATTTGACTTCTAAAACCATCTTCAATTAAAGCTTTCACCTATTTCTCACCTTTTGGGTTTAAACAATCCACACATTATAATTTCATGTACGGAGCCCCCACTCATCTCCATGTTTTCCTACAATGGCTCGATCATCTCCAAACTATCTTAAAGTGATATTACGGGTTAATGTTATAGAGGGTTATTCTAGGTTTCTCCTAATTTATTCTAAAATTCCAATCAATAAGTATTAGCAAATTACATTCTGCACTAAATCCATAGTTTCTAGCTTATACATGTCCAATAATCACATCATAGCCGGCAAGGCTACCAAACCCACACAAGCATGCAAACGTTCTTAAAGATTCACTCATCAAGCATGCATCATGCAGAAACTTGTCACACTTAACGATGAATTGTGAATATGCAAAATAATTACATGCCGAATATTTGTTTGAAATTATGCTACCATCTCCCAAACTTATACAATACATTGTCCTCAATGTAAAATGTAAAGTTAAAATGGCAGAATTTAAAACATGGACACAAGTTGGCAATAAAAGATTAACAAAACTCCCCTGATCAATGTGGTGGTTGTGGTGTGAAGCTGGGACCTGTAGCATCATCTTGGCTATTCACTGCATTACCAAAGGTGGAGGACCATGGTCGATTCAGGGTATTCTTGGACAGATCAGAGACCTCATCTACTTTGATAGAGACACGGTTTCACACATCTACAGAGAAGGCAACCAGGTTGCTGATTCTCTTGCTACAGAAGGCTGGAATCATCGGCGCTATCTAGAGTATGGACCACTAGAACTTCCTCGACATATTAGGGCGATAG